AATCCCACTGGAATTGTTTCCTTGTTTGCCTCTCCTCACCCAGTGACTGCCTTGCTCCTCTGCCCACCAAAAAAAAAAAAAAAGGGCTGTCAGATAAATGAGGAGCTGCTGCAGGGGGATTTAAAGGCAGAATGCAAGAGTTTGCTTGGATTGGAAAGGTACTGTGGGAAAAAGCAGGGGAAAAAGACCGTCTGCACAAAAAAACCCACCTAGAATCCGGTTTATTTATGGAATAAAACAAAGGGATGAAGGGATTTAAAAGGAAAAAAAAAAAAAGCCTGGCTTAGGTAATACCTTGTGGTCTTAGACCCAGCATAAATCTGTCAAGAAAAGGTCACTTACTCAAAAATTTTCCTAAATGCCATGATCAGATTTCACCTTTTTGCTGTTTGCATTTTATACATCAAAACCTCGTGGCAAATGGGAAGAGTCTGATTAAGGTTCTTGCACGCAGGGCAGGACACAAACCTCTCATGTTAACGCGGTGGGATATTTAAAACAGTCATGAAAACGCTTCTTGGTTTTGTTCAAACAAGGAAAAACACGGCCTAAGTTAAACTTTGAGCCCAGAAGGTTAGTATGAGTCTTTCAAGAGAATCTTTGCACTCCAAGTTTGATCTCCAAATTAATTTTGCTGCCAAAGCCTTGCAGGGACCAAAATCACAGCGACGGGACAGACCCCACCAGCGCTGACAACTCTTGAGAGAGATCCAAGCTACAGAATCCAACCTGTTTCCCTAAAAATGGGACCAGTTTTTAAGGCTGACATCAGGACTGTTCAGACACAACCTGCTCTGCCCCTGCTGAGTGCTCCCAGCACTCCCAAGCCGGATCAACTCCTCCTCGAGCAGCACTAAGGCAAATCTACAGCACCTGAAACAAATACAGGGAATTAAATTTACAGTATCGCCCCATTTCGGCTCAGAACACGTCACTGAAAGGCTCCTCCCTCACCAAACAGGATGAGAAATCGCTCTAAACCTTCCCAAATTTGTTATATATTCAGTGTTTGAGCACCAGACGTGATAAAAACCTGGCTTGATAGGATTAGGCTGGGAAGAGCCCGGCCCTGACCTTCACAACACCTTTGCACGTCAGTCCTGTCCTGTCCTGTCCACCCTGCAGGTGAGACACAGGACACAGCCCAGGACCAGCTGCAAGCCCTGCTGGTTCCCAGGATGGGCTCACTCACCCCCCACTTTTTCTAACGAGTGCAGGGATTTGTTTGCAGGTGGAAGGCTCCACCCTGCCAGCTCAGCCCCCACCGGTGCCATTCCACAGCTAAAGAGCTTTTTAACAACCAAAGGGGGAGAGGGGGGGTGCTGACTCAGCAAAACAACAGCAAGGTTTGCCACAGACTTCAAGGGAGCCAAGGCACCGCTCCCAGCCCTCATCCCGAGGATTTGCGCCCGAATTCTGCAAAACAGCAACAACAGAAAGCCAAAACGTGGGAGTGGAGGATTAGAAACACGCTGTAAGGTAGAATTAAAACTCAGATTTCCTGCTGTGGCACTGTTCCCTCACTCCCAGAACATCCCTGTGACAGGAATTGACAGCCCAAGGCCTGGGATGGAGCTGCCCCCCTTGTGTCACTGAGAGAGATTTCCCATCTCCAGGCAGCCCTGACAATTTAAGGAAGCAATCGCTGCTTCAAAGGGGATCGTTCCCGAGTTTGGAAAAACGGTTTCATCCTCGACAAGGTTGGGATTTATTTTCTTATTTTAGAACTTATATAAGGCAGGAGGAACTAATCTGCTTTGAGCAGAGCACCCGCTCTTTTTGCACCCAGGACGAGCTGCCTGGAGGAAGGAGCAGTTCAGAGGGATCTGCAGAGTTTGGGGGCAGCGTTTGAGATCA